GCACCTATGGCCCAATTAAGGCAGCAAAGAAAAGAGAAGGCTGTCTGGCGAGGCGCCCTGGCGCCCAGGCAGACCCTGGAGTGCCTTGGTGGCAACCACATCGTGGCTCACCAGACCCAAAGGCCACGGAGGGGCCGGGCACACCTGGCACCTTCGGATGGCCCACAGGCCCCAAGCTACTGTCAACTTCTTTCTCAAGTTGGGAGGGGTTTTTCCCGCCCCCCCCCCAGCTGTCCTGTGGCTGGCGGCCCTTCTCCAGCCCAGCCCCCCCACCCTTTGCTCCTTCCCTGTCACTTGACTGGGGCTTCATTTATTAATGCAGGACTCCTGGGAGGGCGCGGGGAGCTCCCAGGTATCTGCTGAGGGACCTCTGCTCCTGGAGGGGGCCTCCACAAAGGTGAGGATGAGCTGGGGGGGGGGGGGGGCGGAGCGGGGTGGTTGGGAGGGATGGAGGGCCTAGTCAGGCAGGAGGGAGGCAGCAGCCCTGGCCTGTGTTTCCTCGCCTGACAAAATGAGAGAGGGGGGTGGAGGGTGGAGAGAGCGAGCAACGGAGAGAGAGAAAGCTGACGCTCTTCACCTTATGTATTTTTAATATTAATGTAATTAAAGCTGTGAGCCGAGCCAGCCTGCGGGGGCGGAGGAGGCAGGAAGAGCCTGGGGAGAGGGAGACTGGGGGACGGGGGCGAGGGGGGGGGCGGGGGGCGGGGGAGAGGGGCTTGTATGGGAAGCGGGCTGCTTGCTCCTATAAGGTGAGTTGAAGGGGTGATCTGCGAGGAGCAAGGGGTTAATCAGCCTTGACCAGCCCTCGGTTGTAACCCAGTGGACCTCATTGGGTCTGGGAAACTCAACTACTCTGTCGGAAGCCACCTCTCACCCTAGTCTCGAAGCAGAGCCTGCCAGGCTCAGACCTAGCGGCATTTACAAATAAAATCAGGGCCGCCCTTCCCCCGCCCAGTCCAGGAGGCGTCCTGGCGGTGGGCTCTGGCAGGGTGCAGGCCCCAGACCCCTGGGCGTTGGCAGCCAAGGACAGGGCGCCTTTCCACGGAGCTCCTAACCTAGGTCTGATTGCCCGGCCCCCCAACGCCTAGGGGTCAAGAGTTGCAGGTCCGCCCGGGCAATGGGCGAGGCCAAGGGGCGAACAGCCGCCCCCCAGGGCGCGAAGGAGAAAAGTTAGGAGGGCTGAACAGGTAAGGCTGTGCTCGCAGGAGCGTGCTTGCCCCGCCGCGCCAGGGCGCGAGTTCGGCCGCCTGGTCTCGCGCCACCTGCGCTCCTGGGGGCTTGTCCACCACCACAACCTGGACCCCCGATCGCCCGCGCTGGCCGGGTGGAGACTCTGCGCCCGGTGGACTCCGGCCGGGGAAGTCTGCCCCTCTCCAAGCCCTCGTCCTGCCTTCCAGGCCGATCAGGTGCGCAGCGCCCTGGTAGCAGGTCCGGACACGCCGGACACCTGGACCCACCCCTAGCAACCCCTTTCTCTCCGAGAGAGGGACACACCCCCTCCCCCCACCCTGAGGACTTGTCGCCTGTCCGGCTGGCCCGGTGCCTGCTGAAGCGGAGGCTCTCGCTTCTTGGGGTGCGCTGCCCGAGGTGGCCCCGGCTATGCCGCGCGCAGCAGCCGGAGCGACCTCCCGGGGCAGGGGGGTGGGGAGGGGTAAGGTGGGGGGAGCGTCCCTGGAGAACAAACTTGCTACCCTGGGACCCCGGGTCTCGACACCCCCAGCTATGCCCGCCCTGCGAGCGGCGGCGGCGCCGAGGAGTGCCATGCGGTGCGCCCGCATTCGCGCCGGGGCTGAGGTTCAGGGCAGTCGAGGGGCGCAAGGTGGAGAGAGCCCAGTCCGAGCCCCAAGTCAGCGAGGGCTCCCTCCCGGGTGGACTGTCACGGCCTGCCGCCGGCTCGGCTCGGCGGGCACCCGGGGTCCCGATGCCACCGAAGCCGCAGGAAGCCGGCCAGGGGCTGGGGGAGGGGGTCCGGGGCAGAACTGCGGCGGGGCGACCAGGGCGCGGCGAGGGGCTCCCTTCCGGACCCCTGCCAGCCCCCACGGACGCGCCCCGAGACAGCAGGTGCCATGACTGGCCGGGCGCCCCGCTCCGGCGACTCTCCCCAGAACCTTTCGAGGGGGCTTGGTCCACCCTCGCGGCACCCCCCTCGGGGCCGGCGTCCGGCTTGGTCTCCCCGACACCTGGAGCCTTGGGGCTCCGCGCCTCGCCCGGCCGCCGGCCCCGCTGCTGCCACCGCCGCCGCCTCCCCCCCCCACGGCCGCGCGCGCGGGGCTCACCTTTGTGCAAAGAGTCCAGGAGCAGGAGGAAAGTTACCAGCCACATGCCATACAGGGGCCCTATTCTCCGGGGAGGTGGTCCTGTGGCCGGCCGTGCGGCAGCGCCTCTCCCCCGCTCAGCGCGCTCCCAGCCGCCCGCACTCGGCGCCCCGCTCTCTCTGCTCCTCAGCCCGGCGCTTGGCGGCGGCTCCTCCCTCCTCGGCTCCCCGCTCCTGTCATCTTCGGGGCTGGGCTAGGCGGCCGCTCTCCCCGCCCCCCCTCCCGCAGCACCCCGGGGGCTGAGCGCTGCTCCCGCCTGGAACCCAGACTGTCCCTCGTCCGACGGGCCCCAGGGACCGGGGTGGGGTCCTGGAGCAGACAGACCGGACTCTGCTCTGCCGTCTGAGAGGCCAGGTGTCCCTGCCATAGGCCTATGTCATTCCTGTGCCAAGAGAACGCGATGCTCCGTCCAAGGACGCCCCTTTCCTGGCCTAGGACGCCTCATTTTCTGCATCTTTCAGACTCACGTCGGCCCCTTTGAGGCCCCCGTGGATGCTTGTATTAAGTCCAGACTAAGACCCTGAGATGCACCCCGCTCAATGCCCCACCCCAAACCGAATGCCCTTCCAACCCCCCGAGTTATTTCTACAAGCCCTCTACATGCCAGTCCAATCGCCCAGGAACTCTGCTTGAATTCCCCTCAGCACTTGGCACATTTGTCATGGTTTAAACTCATGCTTTATTATAAACACGTTCCTGTCTACTCTATCTCACCTTTCTCCCTCTGCCTTCATGGCCCTGCCGCCCCTCCCCCAGCTTTCCCACTGGGCAGAAATGGGTCTATCCTGTCTGCCAGGTCTGCACAAAGCGGGCACTGAATGGAACTTGTGTGAGGGCATCCTCTCAGGAAATGAATGCTGGGCACGAACTGTGTGCCAGGTACCGAGCTAGGTGCTGAGGGCACAAGCACAGCTGAGCTGGGACGACCTTGGCAAGCCTGGTAGCCTTGCACAGCACACAGCTGCCCTGGAGCAGATGCTGACTGATGACGTCTCCACCTGTGCCACAGGTGGACACGTCTGGAGGCGACAGAGGGTGTTCAGTGGCTGAATTGGGGGGAAGAGATCGCCAGGCCTTTCTTCCCAGGTGCCTCCCGGGGGACTTGAACCTCCAATCTTTTGGTTACCAATCACCTCCTTGTCCATTTGCACCTCCCAAGGACTCCCTCCTTCTCTTGTAATTCAGAACTCCAGGGTCCAGATCAGGAGGCCCACAGTAGCCTGGAGAGTGGACAGTACGCTAGGACGAGCCCTCCTCTCACCAGAGGTCAGCCAGGCAAGGCTAACACAGTTTTCACACCCTCCCCTATGATGTGCAGGGGAAGGGACAGGACAGGTGGGGTGGGTAGAGAGGCTACTGTTCAGCCCCATTCCATAGAGGAAGGCAATTTACTGCTCCCAAATGATCCTGCAGGATAGATAGCAATCCTGATTCTCTGAGTCTTACCAAATCATCCCTAGGAATTTCCGCTGATGTTTAAAAGGGTGCATTCTACTTTTCACATGCAGTATCCTTTGAAGCCTTAGCGCCTCATTTTCGGACAGGTGAGAAAACAGAGGCTTTGTTCAAAGTCAGCCTGTTTGCTGTCCATGTAAGACTAGAACCCAGGTCTCCCGACCCAGAGAGAGCAGCTTGCTCTATTCTGTGCCTCGGCTCCAGGAGGCTCTAGCACCCACTGGGAAGCAGAAGCTCCTCCACTAGATGTTGTGCCCCCTGGAAGCACAAACACAGCACAGAGGACAGACTGGAAGGGCCTCCGGAGACCACCTAGCCCAACCCCCCTGGTCATTACAGATGAGGAAATGGAGGCGCAGATACCAGACGCCTCTAGTCTTCTGGTTTGGCTTCCATCTCCCCCACACCCCGCAGCCTCACCCCCTCTGCCTGCTGTGTTCACACTCCATCATGTCCCGTCCTTTCTGAGGGAAAGGGTCGCTGAGAGGAATCCAGTTATTTAAAACTAAGCCTATTGACCCAGGGCACCTGGTCAGGCCATGCCTAAAATAAGCCGCTAAGTCAGACGGGATGGAAGGGGCTGCTGTCTGTCTGGGGGAAGTAGCCTGAATGGGTCTGGGGGTATCATCACAGCTGCTTTGGCTCCATGCTCCACCCCTGGCCAGGAACAGAGAGAAGGGCCCTCCTCTCTCCTCTGACTTGAAGGACCTCCTACAACCCGGGTGTTTCACGGTGGGCCTCGAAGGAGCACAGTACTATGTGTCTGTCAAGGGCTGAGTCTTAACGTGAAGGGTGAGGTCACTCCGTGTGTCTTTGGCTGTAGCCTGATTCCCTGGAAGAAGAGGAAGATGGGCGGGAAGGGTGGGAAGGCTGGTGGGGACACCGTCTTGGGCAGGGAGGCTTATGAATGCTGTGATGAAGAGCAGGGGTCCTCCATGCTGCACTGAGTGTGGGTACACGGAGGGCTGAGTCCTCCTCTGCCCACCTGGAAAGCAAGCGGGACAGCGTCTGTCCCAGGAGCTGTGGTGAAGGTCGAGGAGGACAAGCGCAGGCCCTGCTGCTGGCACAGAGTGGCCCAGGTAAATATCGCGGATGGCTTTGGCTTTGCTCAGGAGGACCTTGAGTGACCAGAGGGCAGAGGGGCGGGCTGGCTCCACGGTGCGACCCTGAACGCCACACCTCCACAAGGCTGGAGCTGAGCACTTGGGGACCTGGGAGAGGAGCCACAGAAACATGGAAGCCTTGCTGGAAGGTCAGAGCATAGTTTGGGGCTCACACGATGGGGGCGGGGCGCACTGGTGGTTCAGTGTCGGGGGACGTGGGGTCAGGTCCTCGCTAATCCACCTTTACCACCCGTTTGTCGGCGGAGGCTTTTGGGTTGCTGAGCAGGTTTCAATGTAGTTTCCAGGCTCGGGAAGACGAGGAAGCAAGTCCTGGTGATCCACTTCTGAAAGCCAGCCAGGGCAGACCACGTGGACATGGTGTTGGACTGGGCAGTGCTTCCTTCCCTTACACCTGGGGTCACCATGACTTAGACCTGACCACAGCCGCTAAAAACCACCACCGTGCGGCCACATATAAGCCTGGAGGCGGGCTCAAGGAGAGACGAGAACACGGACAAGGACCTAAAACTAGACAGTCCTGGCCTCTTTGTGTTTGTCCATTTCCTAGGTGTTGTCCCTCCTCGGCATGTAAGAAAATATCTCAAAAAACGAGAGCTTGACTAGGTACACGCAACCATCCCCTCTTTAGCTGGAGTCCTTCTGGGGGGCTGGCATGTCAGGGTCAGCAAGAATCCAGCTAGGAAACCCCCAGGGAAAAGTGACCCTCGGGGAGATTTGGGCGGCCCGTGCCATCGTCATCTTAGACCCAGGCCTCTCCTCCCTCTGTGGTCATTTTGTGGGTCATGCTTTCTTTTGATAAAAGGGACAGTTCATTTTTAGTCCCGAATTGGATGGAAGCCCTCACGCCCATACACACAAGTAAGCACCCGGAGGGAGAGCAAACACAATTGTCCAGGCACACACACCTGTGGGCAGGTGAGCCCAAACACCAAACGACAGGCACACACACCTGCGCTTAAGTGCGGAGTTGAATGCGATCCAAGAAGTCTGCATCGGGACCCATGCATGTTGCCCTTATTTGAAGAAGAAGAAGAAAAAAAGGAGGCTTCAAATGTATGTGTGAGATTTATTTCTAGTAGGGACACACCAGATATTTAAAATCAGTATTGATTTCAATATCTTGTTGCATTCAAAGGCTGGGTGTTGATCTAGCTCTTATATTTATCAATGCCAATTGAAGCAGCTACATTAAGTCCCTGGGAAGTGAACCGGCTCCAATTCAGGTTAATCATGGATATTTGGAAGGGGGGGTGTCTTATTTTGTCATTTTATATTAGGACTGGAGCCATCATGAGAAACAGCAGATGTTTTTATTGTTTAACACAAACCACCAGCTTATACATTTGGGGTACTTGTCTTCAACAACAAATGCATATAATTACGTAAACAAAGCTTCCCATGTGCTTTAAAATTCTTTCACAATTTCCATCTAAATGTGGTTTCATAAAAAGGATTCATGGTAAGGCAAGTCGGGGTTAAAAAACTAACATTTGAGGTTAGAGAGCTAATTCAGGATGGACCACCCTCACCCTTAGGCATTGATGGGAGGAGGGAGAAATAGGCAAGGATTTCCCTGCCTTTTGTTTTGGGTTCCTGCCTCCCCCTCAATTGGTTTTAATGCTATTGAAAGAGTTTGGGACTCTGAGTCAGTAAATCTTGGGTCCTCATTTCCCTTCTGCCGCCCTAGTCACCACGCGACTGTGGAAAAGCCACTGAACCTTTCTGGGCCTCAGTTTCCCCAGCAGTGAAATACAAGTGACCACAAAGGGACAGTCATAAACCAGAGATGAGAGAAGACAAATCGACCTACACTTCTGTGTGTGTGTATGTGTGTGTGTCTGCAAATAACAAGGGCATGTGCTCTGATGAAAGCAGAGGCGAAGACAGACACCTGTTCACATTCACCCCAAATCAAGCAGAGCACGAAGTAAAACAAATCCAACCAAGTCAGAATAAGCCATTCTGACTTCAAATGCCTACATACACATCTAAAACTCTTCCATCTCTTTGAGATGGGGGGGGGGTGTGGTGTCACTGCAATCCATGGACTAGGAGGACTATATAAAAATTTAGTATGGACCATCCAGTTACCCCAGTGCTCCCCATGGCAGCATTCTACATGCTTACCTTAGAGGATCTCTGGTCCTTTTTGCCACTCAGCCTCTCACCGTTTGCGATGGGCATTGCTAGCTCATTAGAACAAAGGGCCCAGGGCCCTATGGGTCCCCCTCCACACCCCCTTGCTCACCACCACCACAGTTGGGGCCTCTGGGGTTCCACTGTTCAAGCCCATCTCTCAGAAGGGTTGGCCAGGGGTTTCAAAAGCCCTCATGGATCTGGGATCCCCTGAAAGACCACATCCACATACGCCCTTCCCACTCTCTCATCTCACAGCTGAAATTGGCTGAGATGCCATCTCCGAGAGGCTCTGGGAAGGAAAAATCGGTAGGTAGGGCTGAAGCTCACATCCT